GTCCTGCTTTTGATTTTGTTACTGGATGGTGGACATTGTGAATTTTACATTGTTAATAGCTGGATTTTGTTATTTTTCTTTTAAATTGTGTTAGACTTGGGTGAAACATGACTGAGGTTAAATCTGTATATTGTGAGTTCTATAATGGGACACATTTAAGGATTTAATATGTAGTCATCACGTACCCTATTTTAAGACTTACCTTCATCTCGTCTCCAGGAAATGTTGCTTTCAAGTTCTTGATTGCTCTTCTGAGTGTACTGCGTTCCAGCCATCATCATAGGTGCTGATGTACCATAGTGAGCGAGTAGATAGGTTATGGCTCTCATGAACTGATTTTCCAGTGTTGAAGACAGCTAAAAAAACAAGAACGCGAGTAGAACACCAGGATTTCCGATAGCAGTTTAATAGGGATTAACTGGGATGTTTGGGTTGATGAGGAAGCCAGAGCTCAGGAGATGGGCACTGCACCCATAATCAGAACAAGCACGTGTTTAACATAAAGATAATTAACAAGTGGTGGGGTGCGGTGGCTCACGCCTGTAATCAGCACCTTGGGAGGCAGAGGCAGACGGATCACCTGAGGTCAGGAGTTGGGAGACCAGCCTGGCCAACGTGGTGAAACCCCTGTCTTTACTAAAAATACAGAAATTAGCCAGGCGTGGTGGTGGGCTCCTGTAATCCCAGCTACTTGGGGCTGAGACAGGAGAATCGTTTGAACCCAGGAGGCGGAGGCTGCAGTGAGCTGAGATCACAGCATTGCACTCCAGCCTGGGCAAGAAGAGTGCAACTCAAAGTAATTAACAAGTAGCAGGAGGTCAGCCACCCAGATCTGTGAAGTGAACCCTAAAGAGTATGGCCAGGGCAGATCTAGGGGGCAGCCACTAATGGGAGCTTAGGGAGGGGACTCGAGAAAGGAACAAACTTGGAAGAGGCCCTGACATGGAGGGGGTATTGTTATGCCCCACTGGGTAGCAGAGAGGCTCCCTGAGGTCCTGCAGGCGCTGGGACTGAGTGCTGGAGAGTGCTTGCCTCTCAGTCCCCTGCACACCACTGACGAGGAGCTGCCTCGGGGTAAGAGCAAGATGAGAAAAGCACAGGAACCTGGAGGGAGACCCCTTCTTCAGTGTCCCTGTAGCACCTTCCACCCACACGACCACAGATTGTACCTACCTGCTGGCAGAGGAGAAATGTTTATAGGGTGCAGCTCCTTTGTTGTAAGTGTGGTGAAGAAGGGAAGATTTGGAGTTGAGAGGCAAAAAAATCAGTTGGCTCAACCAGCCTCCCTGAGTAGGTGATCTTTTTGCTGAGGCCTACCTAATGGGACAGCACTCTACAGTCTACCAGAAGCCAGTCAGAGGCTCATGGGCTAAGGGTACGAGGCAAAGGGAGCGAGGGCAGTGACTTAAAAGCAGAACTTTGACCTGAGCAGCCTTGAAAGCTGTGGTAAGAAACACAGTGTTTGCTCCTAAGTGATAACAGAGGAGTGATACAGCGTTTGCTCCTAAGGAGAACAGAGGTTTTATGTTGGGAGCTCTGTGATGTCACTCTGCTGCTGCCTGGAGAATGCATGATTAGCAGGTACCTGTGGAAATAGGTGTGCCACTAGAGAGAGGCAGTGCGGCTGTGCAGGCGAGAGGTAGGTGATGATGGCTTAGACTGGGTTAGAAGCAGCGGAGGAAGAATGAGTGGATTGTGGAGGTATTTAGGATTGAGGTGGAGTGGACAACTTTGCTGTTAGATGGCTGTGGGATGGAGGAGACTGTGAACCTTGCTTGTTGAAGGGAACGGACCCGCTTAGGAAACAGCCTCCTCTACCACTGCCCTCTTCTTGTCCTACCATGCCTCATCAATCAGAACCCCATGGCCTTCCAGCCACTTTTGGTATGGGAGTAGCCTCATTTTCAGGTACTCAGGTCCAGTCTACATAAAAACCTAAATATGGCTGAGCGTGTTGGCTCACGCCTGTAATCACAGCACTTTTGGAAACGAAGGCAGGTGGATCACTTGAGCTCAGGAGTTTGAGACCAACCTGATCACCATAGTGAAACCCTGTGTCTACCAAAAATACAAAAAGTTAGCCAGGCGTGGTGGCGCACGCCTATGGTCCCAGGTGCTCAGGAGGCTGAGGTGAGACGATTGCTTGAGCGTGGGAGGTGGAGGTTGCAGTGAGCCGAGATTGCACCACTGCACTCCAGCCTGGGTGATAGAGCGAGACCCTGTCTCAAAAAGAACCCAAAAAAACAAAAACAAAAAAACCTGTATGTCTCATCTAATTAATCCAAAGCCTCTTCCCCTCAAGTTAAGTGGTGGCAGGAGTCCCCATGGGCGGAGGGCGGTGGTGTATGTCCTGCCTCCTTATGTTCCTCCAGGATGGAGAAGGGGCTCTGGAGTGAAGACTTGGGGGTCTTTGTTCTCTTCTGGGTTGTCTCGGGTTCTTTTTGGCCCACTAGCACTAGGTCTGTGGTCCTAATGGGTGGCCCAGCGGTTGCTGGCTCTTTCTTGGGGGAGGCTGCTGTAGTGTGCTCAGGCTGCTACAACAAAATACCACGGGCTGGGCTGCTTATAAACAGCGGACATTTATATCTTATAGTCTGGAAGGTTGGAAGGTCTAAGATTAAGGTGCTGGCGATTGGTGCCTGGGGAGGGCTGAGCTTTGGTTCATAGCTGGTGCCCTCTCGCTGTCCTCATGCGGTGGAAGGATGTGGCAGCTCTCTGGGGCCTCTTTTATAAAAGGACATTAATCCCATTCACGAAGACGCCGTCCTCATGACCTAATCGCTTCCTAAAGGCCCCACTTCCTGATACATTCCCTTAGGGGTTAAAATTTCAACTTATGAACAGGGGCGGGCGGGAGCACAAACATTCAGAACAGAGCAAAACCTCAGACCTTTGGGCATTTTTGAGACCTCGGTAGGGACTTCATGCTGGACTGTCTGGTTGAGACTCTGTGTGGCACAACCAGCCTGCCCCCCTCCCCCTACCACTGCCATCCCGCACTCTGCCCCCCCTCCCTCGGGGTGTAATTCTGGGGTCAGCTTCCCAGCAGGACCTGTTTGGGGTGGGATTCTTTCAGGATGACACAAGCTCTTGCCCTTCTGTGTGCTGGTGGCAGCTGAGCTAGGTCCCCTGCTGTCTTAATCCTCCGCCCACTTAGCAATGCTCAGGCTTTTCTGCTGCAGGGTCTTTTCTGCTGCAGGGTCTTTTCTGCTGCAGGGTCTTTTCTGCGAGGCCTGCCCCAGTGTCTTTGTGTCCCAACTCCACAGCACCCACCACAGGCCCTTGGGAGTTTCCTTGTGCTTGGCTCAGCAGCAGACTGGGGTGGTGCAGGCCTCTGAACAGACTTGGCCAAGTCCAGCCCAGGGTGAGCCCCAGGCTCCTTGCCATAGGCCACCACCTGTCTCTCTCAGGGCTTGTCTCAGTGGCTTCATGCTTGATTGGGGGAGGGGTTAGTAAGGAGAGCACACTTTTCCTTGTGGGAACCAGAGTGGGAATAGTGCAATACTCGTGACTTAGGTGAATTCCTTTCTGGAAGTCTCTCTTGTGACTGTGATTCTCTTCCTCAGGCTGTGGGGATCAGGGGAACGCAATGATTATGGAGCTGGCAGCCCCTATCGTGAGCCTGGGGAAGCCTTTCTAGCACCCTGCATCACCCTGTGGGCACCCTCAGCTCTGAGACCTGAGCCCCTTTTCCCAAGGAGCAGAGTCCTTCTCAGGACCTGTTCTAGAAGGAGCCCCGGTGCCGGATGGGTGGGTGACTGAGCGGGAGGAGGAACCTGAGGTTATGTTGTGTTTCTCTAGTTGTTGTTGGTGAAATCCTTTTGGTGCTTACTGTTGGGCATGGGACATAGGAAAGTCTTTGCCCAGTGTTCTCTCTCTCTCTCTCTTTTTTTTTTTTTTTTTGAGACAAAGTCTCTCTCTGTTTCTCAGGCTGGACTGCAGTGGCGCGATCTTGGCTCACTGCAACCTCTGCCTCCCAGGTTCAAGCGATTCTGCTGCCTCAGCCTCCCGAGCAGTTGAGATTACAGGCGTGCACCACCATGCCTGGCTAATTTTTGTATTTTTAGAAGAGATGGGTTTCACCACGTGGGTCAGGCTGGTCTTGAACTCCTGACCTCAGGTGATCTGCCTGCCTCGGCCTCCCAAAGTGCTGGGATTACAGGCGTGAGCCATCGTGCCTGGCCAAGTGTTCTCTGAAGCCTCCTTGTTCCTCAGTCATAGCAGGCAGTGCAGGCTGTGGGATTCCCCAGGACGGAGAGGCCTCTGCCCTGGCTGCTTGATACTAGGCTCAGAGAGGTCACTAGGTTTCTACCAAGTGCTATCTCAGGCGACCGTGGGCATATGTCACTTTCCAGAGGTGCCCACTGAGGTGATCATCATGTGTGATGATTAGGACACTGGGAGTAAAACTGTTCCTTTTTAAATTTAATATCAATTAATTTTTATACTTTAAAAAATTTTTAAATAGAGACGAGGTCTTGCTATGTTACCCAGGCTGGTCTCAAACGTCTGAGCTCTTCAAGTGGTCCTCCCATCTCGGCTTCCCAAAGTGGTGGGATTACAGGTGTGAACCACCATGCCCAGCCGAATTGTTTCCTTTTTGTGTGCATGTGTCTGTGTGACAATGTCTCTGTCATCCAGGCAGAAGTGCAGTGGGGCATGATCACGGCTCACTATAGCCTCAACTTCCCAGGCTCAGATGATCCTCACACCTCAGCCTCCTGGGTAGCTGGGACTACAGGCAGGCTCCGACACGCCCAGCCTGTTTTTTGTATTTCTTGTAGCAGTGGTGTTTCACCATGTTGCCCAGTGATCCACCCACCTCAGACTCCCAAAGTGCTGAGATTACAAATGTGAGCCACTGCATCCAGCCAAGATAGTTTCTTTTCAATGTCTACGTTTTACAGTTTTTAAAAGGCATTTTCCTGAGCAGTTAATAAAAAATTGATGCCTTGAACATTTTAACATAACTGGTCTATTCTGTTCTCTTTTTAAAGCAGAGCCAAGATTTTCTTCTTCACTCCTCGCTTGGTGGCTCCCAGCCAGAGGCCGGCAGTGGTGGGAGGCTCGCTCTGGGTGCACAGACGCTGCCTTCGGACACCGCATGCTCGTGCGAGGCCTGCAGTGAGCGCAGGTATGTGACGTGTGTGCCACGTTGCTCACACCTGTCCACAGTGACATGCAGACCTGCATATTGGAGCTGGACCGAGGAACTGGGCTAATGTGACAGACAGCAACAAGAGTAAGGCAGTTGCTTCGCTATTGTGGGAAAGAACCAGATGAGTAAGACAAAAACTCCCGCTCTTGAGGAACTGGCACTAGGAAGCATCCTCACAACAAGAGGAGAAGTCCTTAAATAATCAGAATCTAAGAGCAGCCTCAGTGAATGAGAGGAGTGAGGGGGGAGAGCCTGACTGGCTGCCGCTGAGTGGCTGAGGGGAGAGCCCAGGAGCTCGTCTTTTTTTTTTGAGGCGGGGTCTGGCTCTGTCCTCCAGGCTGGAGGGCAGTGGCGTGATCTCGGCTCACCACAACCTCCGCCTTCCAGGCTCAAGTGACTTCTCCCACTTCAGTCCCGGTATCTGGGACTACAGGTGCGCACCACTGTGTGGAGCTAATTTTTGTATACTTTGTAGAGATGGGGCTTTGCCATGTTGCCCAGGCTGGTCTCAAACTCCTGGACTCAAGCAATTAGTCCGTCTTCACCTCCCAAAGTGCTGGGATTACAGGCATGAGCCACCATGCCAAGCCCGGAAGCAGATCTAAAAATGCTCTGTGCTCTGACTCAGGAAGGAATGCATGTAGCCAAGTGGGGGTCAAAGGGTGGGGGCAAGGCTGCCCATTAGGTACCTTGGAGGTGAAGGCCAGATCAGCAGTGGGGATGTGGGTACCCTTATTATGGACAGTAGCCACAGATGCTCCTGTCATCTGTGCAGTGGCTAAGCTCTTACGCAGAGTGCACCCTGGGAGCTGTGCTGGGGATGCCATCACCCTGATTGCCGGCTCCTGGGAGCTGGGCAAGGTACAAGAGTCTGGGAGGTCCTCTGAGGACAATGTGCTAGGTGAGGAAGGGCAGCAGATTGTGGTGAGTTTCTAACCTTCCTGTGTTGTCTCACAGAGAAATTTCGTCAGAGGCGGACCGGGAACCTCAGCAGCTGCAGAACTACTGGTCAGAAGTGCGCTACACAGTGCGCTGCATCTACCGCCAGGCAGGGACCCCGCTGGCAGATGACCAGGACCAGTCTCTGGTGCCTGACAAGGAGGGAGTAAAGGAGCTCGTGGATCGGTACATACCACCCCTTACTGTTTTGGCCCTGTGCAAACCCCTGCCCTGCCCGCTGCGCTTGGAGCCGCTCCTTTCAGGATGGGCTTTCCTTACAGTGCTCAGCTGGGCTTGCTCAGCCTTTGGTGCCTGTCGAGTCTGCAGCAGATGGACTGGCAAAAGCAAGCCCCCTAGGCCAGACATCTTGAATTTTTCTGATTCTGATGAAATGCTATTGCCTGTGTAATTACACAAGAAATGTTTCTGTCACTTGTTTGTGTGAAGACTGATGATAATACCTGCCTTTCTGAGTCCCCCTGTGCCCCGGATGATGCAGAGTACTTTTACAAGCACTCTTGCCTTTATCAACCCAAGGAGAAAGGCGGAGTTAGCTCATTTACAAAGTGAGAAAATGGGGCTCTGTGAGGTTGGGTAGCTTGTGTATGTGCCTGTGGCTCATGAGGCCGAGACAGCTGAGGCGTGCCTGGCTGTGTGGCTGTTTGTCTTGATGCCGCAGCTGTTCTTCAGCAGATACCTTATGCTCAGTAACCACACAGAATTTGAGGTGGCCATAATTTTTATTCTTCCTTATAGTTTGATGTAACTTTTTTTTTTTTTTTTGAGACGGACTCTTGCTCTGTCACCCAGGCTGGAGTGCAATTGTGTGATCTCAGCTCACTGCAACCCCCGCCTCCTAGGTTCAAGCTATTCTTATGTCTCAGCCTCCCAAGTAACTGGGATTACAGGTGCCCACCACTGTGCCCAGCTCATTTTTGTATTTTAATAGAGATAGGGTTTCGCCATGTTGGTCAGGTTGGTCTCAAACGTAATCCACCTGCTTTGACCTCCCAAAGTGCTGGAATTACAGGCGTGAGCCACTGTGCCCAGCGACGTAACGTATTTTTATTTTATTATTTTATTTTATTTTATTTTATTTATTTTTTTATTTTTTTTTGAGGCGGAGTCTCGCTCTGTCGCCCAGGCTGGAGTGCAGTGGCGGGATCTCAGCTCACTACAAGCTCCGCCTCCCAGGTTCACGCCATTCTCCTGCCTCAGCCTCCCGAGTAGCTGAGACTACAGGCGCCCGCCACCTCGCCCGGCTAGCTTTTTGTATTTTTTAGTAGAGACGGGGTTTCACCGTGTTAGCCAGGATGGTCTCGATCTCCTGACCTCATGATCCGCCCGTCTCGGCCTCCCAAAGTGCTGGGATTACAGGCTTGAGCCACCGCGCCCGGCCTTTTTTTTTTTTTTATTTTTTTTTTGAGACGGAGTCTTGCTCTGTCGCCCAGGCTGGAGTGCAGTGGCGCAATCTTGACTCACTGCAAGCTCCGCCTCCTGGGTTCACGCCATTCTCCTGCCTCAGCCTCCCGAGTAGCTGGGACTACAGGCGCCTGCCACTGCACCTGACTAATTTTTTGTATTTTTAGTAGAGACAGGGTTTCACCGTGTTAGCCAGGATGGTCTCGATCTCCTGACCTCATGATCCTCTCGTCTCGGCCTCCCAAAGTGCTGGGATTACAGGTGTGAGCCTCTGCGCCCGGCCTTTTATGTTTTTTGAAATGTTTCAAATGAAAGCAACAGATTTGAGATGGCTATTTCGTGGGTTGATTCTCATTTGGGTTTCTTTCTCACATTTTGAATGCATCACATTTGGGAGAGATTTTTTTTTTTCCTCCCTCCCCTCAGAGTCTCACTCTGTCGCCCAGGCTGGTGTGCAGTGGTTGTAATCTCAGCTCACTGCAACCTCTGCCGCCTGAGTTCAAGAGATTCTCTTGCCTCAGCCTCCTGAGTAGCTGGGATTACAGGCGCCTGCCACTGTGCTCAGCTAATTTTTGTATTTTTAGTAGAGATGGGATTTCACCATCTTGGCCAGGCTGGCCTTGAACTCCTGACCTTGTGATCCACCCGCCTCGGTCTCCCAAAGTGTTGGGATTACAGGCGTGAGCCACTGTGCCCAGCCGGGAGTTTTATAAACTGATGTTTGCTGTGCGGGAAATCCTCCCACATGCTGGGATTACAGATGTGAGCCACCATGCTTGGCTGAAATCTAACTTCTAAGAAAACACATACCACACAAAGAAGGACCTCTTGCAATACCAGTGGCTCGCAGGTCAAACCCTGAAACATACTTGGCTGAATTCAATGAGTTAACCTAGTCTATGGCTAATCACTCTCCTTGCCTCTCAGGATAAAATCA